AGTGATTTGAAGGTTTCTTCTAGGCAACTGATAAGTTGGCCGTCAGTAAGGTCATCAATGTTTGCCTCCATTTCAATAGGTTTAAATTTGGCTTACCGGAGCGTTTTGACGTCCTTTTCCCTCGGAAGTTTGACTTAAAATGGCTGTTTGTTATGGTTAGACAGGAAATGTGATGACGTATGCATTAGTTGTGTATGACGTCATTAGCGCGTGCAGTTTTGCGAAGTCGGGACTGGGTTCGGTATCTCCCATACAACTTTAATGGCTGTCGAGCAGTGCTATGGTGGAACCCCTCTCGTCGTGTTGTATGGGTCGGGTCGTGTGGTTGACGCCTTGAGTACGACTCGACTGGACCGATAAAACCGTTGCGCTATACACTATACATGGTGGTAGAGCGAACTGTATTTCTTTTCTAAGATGCCAATTTTGATACTTTCTAAGGATTATTACGATTAATCTAAGCCAGAAAACAAACGACGGTGTCGGTGACCTAAATTAAGAATCCTCGCACAGGGCTAACTGGCGCGCTGTTCTATTTATGTGTCTCCCCCCTACGTTAAGACGAACGTTACCAGAAAAAAAAATGCTAAACAGTTTGATGACGGTTTACGTTCGGATTAAATATCTTCTCTAAATTATTTCAATTACATCTGTGATTAACGTAAACCATATGGGGCAATATAAACGTCGCATTTCTACTACCAACAAACGTTTAGATCAGTACATCCAGATGAAGCTGAGCAGTCAAGCGACATTCCACGATTGCATTCTGGGAATGTAAACATTGCGAACTTTGCCGTGTCGCTGAAAACTTGTGAGTCGAATTGAGACATTTTAACCGTCGGAAAACAAAAACAAAATTTTTTGGTTCGATTACGAGGGGGCCGACTAGAATGGCGCAGTGACGCCAATATATTGTGACGTTATGCAAAAAGTGCACATTATCGTCTGCACATATGTGCAGATGAGATTTTGCAGGTGACATAATATGACATTTGCTATTTGGATCCTGAGAGACTTTGACTGAGAGTCGGCCGGTTGCAGTTGCCTGAGCAAATGGTATAGGTGGCTGTTTTTGACCGATTTGACAGCATTTGCAAAGGACATAGGCATAGGAGCGTTTTCAGCGTTGCAGCATATTTATACATGTTGACATGTTGGATCTCACCTGCTTACTTACATTTACTAGAGTGAGTGAGTATGGTTTTGCGCCGCTTTTAGCAAATATTCCAGCAATATCATGGCGGGGGGACACCGCATCGTGAAGAAATGGGCTTCACACATTGTACCCGTGTGTAGAATCGATTCCGGGTCTTCGGCGTAAAGAGTGAACACTTTAACCACTAGGCTACCCCACAGCCCCTATATTTACTAGAGCCTCTATAGGCTGCGTTGTTGTTTCTTTAGCAGTTTGAACATTGCATGGTATATCTTTGGAAAGGTAATTATCACATGAATGATCCCCACAGCAGCGAGGACAAAGCTTAACTGTACGTTTACATTTATGCGATTTATGACCAGAACGCTGGCATTTATAACACCTCAGGGCTGGAGGTACATGATAGACTGATAGTACATATCAGTATATAGATGTATACATGATCGTGAGTATGGTACTGGCATAAGTTAACAAAAAAATGATAGTGTCTGCTGATTTAGCCTTTGTGGGCTGCACAGGCGCTCTGCTGCTCAACACAATGTCACCTTTATCAAATCTCATAAGGCTAATTATGTCACCAATAGTTTTGTTTGTTCTTACCTTATTCATTGGGGCTCAGAGATTTCAGGCTGACTCCAGCGTCTACCCAGGAGTGAGTGAGTTTAGTTTCACGTTGCACTCAGCAACGGTCTGTAAATAATCGAGTCAGGACCAGACAATCCATTGGTCAACAGCATGAGCATCGATCTGCGCAATTGGGAACCGATGACATGTGTCAACTATGTTAGCAAGCCTGACCACCCGATCCCGTTAGTCACCTCTTACAACAAGCATGGGTTACTGAAGATCAATATTCTAACCCGGACCTTCATGGGGCGTCTACAAAGGAGGGTATCACAATGGACTTAAGATTTGTTTTATTTGAATTTGTCTGAACATCGTCATCATGTTTTCTTCGTTGTCTTTATGCCAACGTAGCATTATATTTCTCCAAATTCAGTACGAGCGGAAGTTTCCTCAAAATCATCAGGAGGAGCCGACTAGTTGGCTGTATATTCGTTCTCTGAATCAAACTTCACAGCCCTATCTGCAAAGCAAGTGCTATCAATATGGCCGACAAGTTTTATAAGCGTAACAATTTTTTGCACGAACAATACATGCCAAACGCACGTACCAAGCCGAGCGTTCACATAAAACAGAAAACGTTCAGATAAATTTCACATTTGTAACCAAACATCAAAATATACAGCCCACTAACTTAATTTCTAAAGCAATTTTCACCAACTCAGCTTAGAGTTTACAATACAAAATCAAGATATTTTATTCATCTCAGCCAGAGAAACCTACACAGGAACACTGACTCATAGAGCTAGATAAACATATATATCCTCGCCAACAGCCCAAGCAAGTTTCTTATAAACAGATGTGAAGTTATTCTCTGTTCTTGTCTTCGTGTTCATCTAACTTCCGAATGCCCATCAAAGGCCTTATCAAAATATACCAAATACATCTGAGAAACGTTCCATGTCAACAGTTCCGATAAGAAAACAGCAACGATTACTTCTATAAAATTGACACTTTAGAAGTAATACATGTAAGTGCATAAGCAATTTGATTACCGTCACAGTCAGGTTGATCCAGGTCCCTCTTGTGGTGAATCTTCTAGAGCGTCTGTTGTGCAGCTCTGGTGAAAAGACCTTTGGAGGCAGTAAAGCTTTCTAACGTTTCATTTCATTCAATGAAGTTGCTTGGATTATTCACAGAGGTGTGACTCTTTATCTCAACATTTATCAAAAGTGAATAAATGTGGTTTAAGCATCACATTTGTAATCATATGGAACACTATCCGTACTAAATCGTGATTATTTAGTTATATTTAGTATGCATATAGCCTGATCTGTCAGTTTTGTAAGTATGGTGGAAAGATAGTGACACTTGAACACACAATACTGTTGACCTTTATCGTGTGTGTTTTAGTGTTTTCGCATAACCTAGTGTCAGCACTTACTTTCGGTGTTCCTATCATAATATCCTTTGACCTTTAACATACTTCGAGAAGTATGTGGTTTTGTATACTGTGTTTGGACATTTTGGCCAAGTTCATGGTTGGGTTTGGAAACAAGTCGAAAATTAACGTGATTATTAACAAACCAAAAGATTCAATATTCCTGAATCACACACATAGTATTGCCCTGACTACCATTGGGGAAAGATAAACGGAGGATGAAGCTGGAGTGGAGGTTCTCCAACATATTTTCCGGCCCAAAAGATGAGGGAAGCGTTGATGTCTCTCCTCTGCCCTGGAAGATGCTGTAGATATTAAGCGCAGCATTCTTTACGTGTTTCATGTGCCCTCCATGATGTAAAGATGGGTCGGTCGGTCGGTTTAAAAAAAGTGCAAAATTAGACTGAAACAATGTTAATTTGTTCATATCTACATCGGAAAAGATGACGAATATATCTGTAACTTTATTGCCCTATACTTTGCCTGTTCAGGAGTGGGTATTGGAAAGCTGGATGCGGAAAAGAAGAAGAAACCTGTCTAAAACCCTAAATTGTTCTGTGTTCTTTGGTATTCAGAAAATAAACATATTTACAGCAAGGTCATTTGTTGTCAAATTTGCAGATTGGAACATATAACACAGACTGCGCTGCAAGTAAATGCAGCAGAGAACATCAAAACAGGTTGAATCAAATGTTACTGTCACTAAGATGGAAACCTCGGTCATTAAAAGATTCTTTTTACTCTTTAATATATGATAGTGTGAGTATAAGAAAGATTACCCTAATGTTCAAATGTTTCTTAAACTGATGAGAACAAGTGATAAGAATAGACTCCTGAGACTTTGTATCTTTCTTAAAAAAGTGTATGTACTTCGATCAAAACAAAAAGTCTCTATGAACACATAACCATATTCACTGAACTAATAAGATGTTTTGTCTAATTGTTTTACACATGCTGTACTGTTGCCCTCATGGCCATCTATACGAAGTAAATAATGATGATGATGATGATGATGATGATGATGATGATGATGATGATGAGTATAAGTAAATGAAATGCTATTCCACTGTAGTCGATTCGGTCTTTACATCGCCGCTTCATGAAGGTTCATCGGATCTGTGGCGACAACTTTGTCTGCTTGTTTTGTTCCCAGTAAAGTCGCGCTATTCCAGCCACGTGACATAATGCAGTAGTCACCACACTATCTAGTGATTGATAATGTAAACTACGATGACACGTTATCAACTAAATCACCGAACCTGACCACTAAAACCATTTTCGAGCATCATGGTTTGGGAACCTAATCTAACTCGCAATTTCCAGGAGATTGTGGCCTAGCTACACTTCAAATAGGGGCGGTGGGGTAGCCTAGTGGTTAAAGCGTTCGCTTGTCACGCCGAAGGCCCGGGTTCGATTCCCCACATGGGTACAATGTGTGAAGCCCATTTCTGGTGTCCCCCGCCGTGATATTGCTGGAATATTGCTAAAAAGCGGCGTAAAACCATACTCACTCACTCACTACACTTCTAATACTGTTCTTGATCAAATGCATGGCATATATCGCATATGTTGTCGTTGTATCCGTGGTATCGTAAGTCGTTATACGGATTCCGGTTCATATATGTATTCAGGATTTTGGTTACAGTGTCAATGTGCACGTGATATCCTTTACCTATGAAAGAGAGTTAGCTCCCCTAGTACTCAATCGCACATATACCACGATTGTATGCGTGTATATTTGAGCCAACAAACGAGGCACCAAATACTGAAAATACGTTTTATTTGTCAATGCTACATTGTAATCAAAGAACGTGACTTGACGTATTCGGTCTCAAAAGGAGTCAAGACGACCGTTTTCCATCCATGGTTTTCTTTCAGGTTTTCATGGACTCATGTGGTTCCCTTTGCCTCCTTTAAGAGTTTAATCATGTGGTCCTGGTCGATGTCAGCTTTTTTGCTGGTTGTATACTCGTACGCAAATGTCTGAAAAACACAATTACATGTAACAGTCAGTCAACGGGGTTATAAGGCTGGGCATATTAGCCATATTCCATGTAAGTAGGAACCGCTGTCAGATAACTAACACTCCATTTTTTATCAGAACACGCACACTTTATAAACACTGAAAACGTGACCAGTTCTAAACCTGCGGTTGAAAGGTAATCTATTCTCCATACAAAGCCACAGAATATCAAATAGTCTTCAAAGCCAGGCAGGGCAACAACAAGTACCATCTTTTAACGGCTTTGGGGATTAAATTTAACTCTGGAACTTCCACACTCTTCGTAAAGTCTCCTTTATAGGAAACGAGCTGACTTGGTTTTTCAGCGTCGCTATTTTTGTATAGAACACATGCCTTTATGATAGCCTGTATAAACGGTGCTACTGCAGTCGCCATTAACTTGTCTGTCTGTTGTGATTTTTCCCCTATCCACAACACGAAAACGTTCTGGCCTTTAAGGCGAAGGGAAGCAAATGCTACCTCGTCATCTGTAAAAGAAATATGATAATGATGTACAATTCAACATCAGGCAATCTGTAATTCATTGATGTACGTGGCCAGTTCGATTAGTGAAATAAATGTCATTCACTGGAATTTATCTACAATATAAGTATTTCCTCTTTGTGTGGTCACCCTGGTATTGAAAAAGACCAAAAAAAATGCAATATACTGAACAAAAAAACAACTTCACTTATATTTACATAGTCTCGTGGTTCGGGTTCAAGTCAGTGCCAAAAATTTTAAGCTCTCTTACTGTTAAGATGGTCGTAAGTGCCATACATTAACATTAACTTACAACTATATTAGCAATAAAAGAGCTTCGAAAATCCAGGCCCTGAATAGATGCCCTAAACTGTATAATGAAGTCGTTCCTTGAGGCCATACTTTGGAGGTAGCAGAGACGTTTATGAACGCAAGAATATACTCGCTCACTCAACTAAGACAGAAAACGTGTCTTCAAATGAACATGTACCTGCAAACTGAGCTGTAAAGGATTTGAAGTCTGTCCCCGTTGAGCTGGTCTTGATAATGCCCTTCTTGAACTTGAACACAGCCCTGTGAATAAACCAGGAACTTTATTTTCAAAACTAAGTGAAATAATTTTTTGTTTATGACACGTGACATAAATATCAATATAATAAAAAAAGATTAAATAATCAATATTGCTTTGTAATACACCGAATATACGTGTAATTATAATGCAAGGATGTATGATTTATGATATTTTCTGGTCGATAATGCATCCAAATACCGGGACATGTATATGTGAGACTTTTTTAAAGTTTTGCTTCACACACGTACTCAACTAAGGGCATCGAATTATTCAATTCAGTTTATTGTATTCGTGGCCTTAGGCCCATATACAAATAACATAATGTCATACATAAATACATTGGTAATAGAAATTTAACATATTTGGCATTTATGTTTTACATTTTGTGTTTCATCTTTTCGTATCTTATAGAAAAGGCGTGTTTACAAAATTTACATAAGTTCCACACAGTTTCGTTATTACTATCAGACATAAGTATGCAAAACATTACAAAATTACAATTCTTAATGTATTTCTGCGGAATATATTGTTGTCTAATTTCATTATACAATGTACATTTCAAAATAACATTGAATTCATCTTCTTTTACATTTAAGTTGCAAAATTGACACATCCTATCCATACCAAAACACACTGTTGGCAATGTCTGTTATTTTGTCGTGAGCTGCTTTGACGTCCACAGCATCAACAGAACTTGGAATCGGGTTGTCCATCGTGAAGAACTCCGCATGTATTGCCCTGTATATGAACAGAGGCAAAATAGCATTGCAGAAGCTATGTAGTGAATACCAGCTACTGTAGCTCCAGTATATATGAACACAATACCTCATATCCATTTAAGACATTTTATCACATTTATGAGATACGAAACTGTAGTTCGGTGTCGAAAGCGCCAGCAATCTCGAGTTATTTAAGTCCCAGGTGATCTCAACACTGTTTGCTGGTAATATTACAAACGGATTTGTTAAACTTGACAAACTCACATAAAATCATCGAATGATTCTAATGATGATTCTGTTTATAAATTGAGAAACGTTACAGTGGAAATGATAAGGAGGAAATAACGACTCGTGCTTTTTCTTTATTTTACTTTCGATAGATTGTCTTTATTTCCTCCAGTACTGAATACTCCAGGAATAAGTATTGGTGTACAACATAGGCTAACAAAATGCTTATCATCGTGAGAGGGACATCAACAAAATGCAAATTGTTGACATAATCAGAATCTTGTTACACAATGGCTTCTTTCGTGAAATCAACGTCAACACAGCAATTAATATCTGAAACATCGAAAAATATCTTCAACAATTGTATTTATTTCTTGAATACTAAGGGTACAAGATATAGACATGTGTTTCACTATGCCAGGGACCACAGTTCCGCGATTACATTCTCTCGGTTCTATCTGTGAACATCCAAAGTTTGCCATGATATATAGACCATAAATGTTTGAAACCGTGGAGAAGTTTGCCAAACTTTGATGTTAACCTTCTAATCTCATATATCATAACAAATGGTGTCGGCCGTGCATCTGTCTCACAATCATAAAGGAATCAACTTTTATCAGTAGGCTAAAATATACTGGGAACATTACAGCTAGTTCAGGAAATGGAAGAGGTCATATTTAAGGACGATGTCTACGATGTTGAAACCGGGAGATGTAAAACATTTCTTTCCCAGATTTTTGTGCAGCAGTTTTTCTTACGAGAGATTTGAAAAGCACATTATGTTTACGGTGAGAAAATAAATACTACAACAGCACATTTTGTCACATTATAAATAAGATTTGGCACTACCGATGGAGAGTCAGTAACAGTAGCTGCTAGCAGCTGACCCGGAGTATGAATCCATGGTAAGCGTGATCCGTAACTAGAGTTATCAAGTTCACAAATGAGATCATTGATGTTTGATATGAAGAGCCCTTGACTTTACACAATAGAAAATACACCTGGGTATGCTCCATAAGATTGCATGTACGAATTGGCACTATGTCACAGACGCCATGTATTACCGCCGGTAAATAGTTCATGGAAAATGTGCAAAAGATTCATGACTTACAGGGACATTCCATATTTAAATCAACAACTATTGCTTGAAAACATGAAAGTTGGGCAACATTGTTTTGTGTCCCGATGATTCATTGTTATCTTATCATCATAGGAAAAAAGCGAAGCCTTGACATTTGTGTACAAATAACAAAGAACGTATCTTTTTATGTCATCATGTTCATCTAACTACAAATGCCTATCAAAGGTGTATTCAAAATATACTAATACTATCTATGTCAAACGCATTCTGTGTTTAAACAGGTGCGAATAGAAAATAGTAAAATTAACCGTTTAGATGTGAGTGCATACACAATTACCGTCACAGACAGGATGAACCAGAGTCGTCCCAGATCTTGCCAGGGCGTTCTTTGCGCAACTGAAATGAAAAGAGTTGGAAGGCAGTAAAGTTTCCTGCCATTTCATGCCATACATGTTCAAGAAAGGTTACTGGGTTTATCATAGAGGCGTGAACGTGTATGTCAACGTATATCAAAGTGTGCATAAATACTGGCTTAACCGTGATATTAGTAATCAACTTCGGCACTGTCTGTACTAAATGATGAATATGACTTGGTATTTTGTATGCATGTATAGTATGACCAGAAATTATTGAGAATTTTAGGTATATGTTTAATTGGATTTCTAGTATAAACAACCTTGACCAGCTATCAAGTGCTTGGTTTCATTCAAGAGAGACAACTCCGTTAATCCTTTTTCATAAGTTTGTGAAGAGTTATCCCCCTTTGTTTACTTGCTAGCAGACGACATTTTCAGTGATGCTCAGTATTGGATGATTTAGAGAAGAGGAAGTTGATTTTAGAGTATTATAACAAGGACATCAGATCAGCTAAAGTGATTTCAAGTAGAACAGGCATCCCTTTGTCCACTGTTTATCGTGTTTTGAAAAATATTGCAAATGGATATAGCATTGAGCACCAGGGAGGCGCAGGTAGGCCCAGAAATTTGACTGTCGGTGAAAGGAGGCGGCTTTGTATTCTTGTTTCTAAAAACAAACGAAGAAGTTTAGAAAACTAAAGGCTGGATATGATTGATAGAGGAACTGTGGCTGTCTGTAAGGAGACAATTAGAACTGAGCTGCATGCAATGGGTTGGCAGAAAAGTCGAGGAATTCCATCACCGATCATGAAACCTGAACAAAAGGAGCGAAGGTTGAACTGGTGCTTACAGCATAGAAATTTTAACTGGGACAATGTGATTTTCTCAGATGAAAGGCCTGTGTGGCTGTTTCCTTAATACACTGAAATTCTGGACCAAACAAACTGAAAAACCTTTGTATCAGCGCCCAAAGTACAGTCCGAAATTTAACGTGTGGGGTGGCATATCTGTGTTAGGGGCAATGCCCCTCTGTGTATTTGAAGGGAACATGAACAGTGAGTGGTACACAGATATTCTCGAGGGACATTTACTTCCATCTGCTCATGTGTTCTATGGAAATTTTTGGATTTTCCAGCAGGACAACGACCCAACACATCGTTCAAAGCATTCACAGGCCTGGTTTCGGACCCAAAATATGACATTATTAGATTGGCCAAGCTATAGCCCTGACCTAAATCCAATAGAAAATGTTTGGAGACTTATGAAGGAAAGTGTCAATAAGACAAATCTGACAAATATTGCTGAAATGAAAGAAGAGGTGGTCCGATATTGGGACAGCATGGACCACGACTTTCTGACTTCTTTGATCAGTAATATGCCCCGCCGCATTGAAGCCTGCATTGCTGCCCATGGTGACTTGACAAAATACTAACTGTTCACCTGCCTTTGAATCTGGAGTTATGTTCTGCTAATATTCACATTTAATACGTGAGTAATGAGTGAAATTTTTTTTTAAAATTACAATCATAAATTCTCAATAATTTCTGGTTGTACTGTAACATGTTCTGTCTCGGTATCCATGGCAGGAACCAATGACGACTGAACACCCTGTATTTCTGGCGTTTACCCTTCAATCCAAATGTAGTCCCCTGGTTGATCTCTTTCCCTGTATTAACGTTGGTTCATTAGAGACCTTTGAAGTGACTAATTACATTGGGGTCTTGTTACAGCTGTAAGATACAAATGTTATACTCAATAAAGGTATGAGGTGACTGTTTAACACAATTCGTCTTGTAGCATCCTTGTCATAGTAAGTCAAAGACAGGGGCGGTGGGGTAGTCTAGTGGTTAGAGCGTTCGCTCGTCACGCCGAAGGCCCGGGTTCGATTTCCCACATGGGTACAATTTGTGAAGCCTATTTCTGGTGTCCCCAGACGTGATATTGCTGGAATATTGCTAAAAGCGGCGTAAAACCATACTCAGTCAGTCAGTCAGTCAGCCAAAGACAAGGAAACATTTAGTCTAAGAAACAAATTTAGGACCGTCCTAGTGCTACCCCTAATGATTATTAGATGTCCACTCCTGGGCAGGTTTCGAGTGAGCGAGAGAGTGTGAGTGAGTCAGTCTGGACCAGACAATCCAGTGACCAACAGCATGAGCATCGGTCAACGCAACTGGGATACCAGGTCGGCGAGCCTGACCACCCGATCCCGTCAGTCGCCTCTTACGACAAGCACGGGTTGCTGAAGACAATTCTAACCCGGACCTTCTCGTATCCTATTTTTGGAAACTAACTCATCAACAAATCAGTTTTTTTGTTAAAAAGTAAAAGGTTGTCTGACCTATCTTTAATAAATTAACTTTAATGGCAATGTGTCAAATTTTCACTTAAAATGAACAAAGGTTGTATATTTTCAAATGTAATTTATAATTATTCAAATGAAAACATGTAAGAAGATCGGCAAGGAAGTTGGGTGTGGCTATTAAACATTGTAAACCAAAAGTCACTGTGTTCTTTAACCTGATTGGTTTAAAAACGTGATCAAATGGTATTCGATTCCCGGAAATTCGCTGCGTATTAATACATTCAAACATCGCTCACATCATTGTATTGTTACGTCCTCAGCTGTGATGACGTCATTCAAATCATATTGTGACGTAAAGTAGGAATGACGTCACAAATGAGCAGTTCCAGATGGTACCATGGGAGACAGCCGAAACGGCCGGCTGATAACATTTCACTGCTGTACCCGTACTCGATGTCAATGAGTGCAGACACAAAAACGTGTGTAGACCTTTCGGTTTACTTCTGTGTTTACAATGTCGATAAACATAATGTGTTGGCCAATTTCCGGGTGTTATTGAGTATTTGAAGCACGGGAATATTTCATTTGAAACCTCTTCTGACGCCGTCGGTTCCAAATGAATCCCCGTGCTTCAAATACTCAATAACACCCGGAAATTGGCCAACACATGATGTTTATCTCCTAATTGTAAACCAAAAGTCACTGTGTTCTTTAATCTGATTGGTTGAAAAATATGATCAAATGGTATTCGATTCCCGGAAATTCGCTGCGTATTAATACATTCAAACATCGCTCACATCATTGTATTGTTACGTCCTCAGCTGTGATTGGACAACGGTTTCAAGCAGTTCAATCACGTCCTTGGTCAGTTTATATCCGTTCTGAACTAGACCTATGTCGTTCTTTATAGGCATAACCCCGTTCTAACTCGCTCTCAACACGACCAACTCGTTTTCAGGCAGTTCTTCCCGTTCGCATTACTTTCTCACTCCGTTCCTAGTGCGTGCAATCGTAATAGCAATCACTCCTGTCCCGGTTTCTATACGTACCCAGCACGTTCTTGTCCGTTCTCAATCCCGTTCTCAGTGTCAAGGTGGTAACATCGACATCACCATGAAGAAGAAGGGTGGACTCATGATCATCCCCCAACAGTTGATGGCAATGTCCCACAGCTATTCGCCTCTCAGGTTTAAGCCAGTTCCTCAACCAACAAGTTCTTGTTTTTCCTCCTTTTTTGCTCTACCAAATCATTGTACTCTTGGTCTGCTTCCAACACAAATTGCAGGAAACCAGCATTCAACACGTTGACATCTGCAAACTTGTTCAGGTTTCACCAGTAGAAATGTCTATCCGAAATGACGAACGTGTTAAAAACGCATGTAGTTATACCCTACCTTGTCATATCGTACTGCACACGGTGTTGACGTAGTAAAACTGCGTGAGAACTATATAAACGAGTAGAACGTAATGAGAACCCATTGCGAACTTTTAGAACCGTGTAGATACGTACTACGAACTTTTTCTATGTTCATTTTGTTTTGAACGTATTTGCACGGAATAGCAACTAGGGACGTAGTGAGGTCGAGTTAGGTCTGTCTGAGAACGGGATGGACGTGGTGGAAACTATGTACAAACGTTTTGCAATTGATGCCCGACTGCACTACGTCCGCACACGTCTCCAGTAAGATTGAAGTACAGCGATTCCATTCGTAGTACGGCAGTTCCGTTTGTAGTACGAAAATTCGTTTTACGTACGTTGTCACTCCGTCCCATTTTAGAACGGGTAGAACGTCGGACATGTTCTGGAGCACCCTTCCGTCCCTAGTCCACCCGAGCCCGTCCATAAAGTTCTTAAACAGACTGTAAGTAGGTGCCACTACGTCCCGTCCGTTCTCACACAGTTCGAGCCCGATCGGAACATTTTACAAGAACGTACTGATGGGGATATAAGCTAATAAAGAGTATACTGTAGCAGCGGCCGTCTGACAAGACAACTATCAACCATGACGTTAGGTCACGTGATGACAACTGCTGATTAACTTTCCGTAGTTTCCGGAAACCCTCTACGCCCAGAAAGGGCAGAATTTGTATTTTTGTGCTTCTCATCGCCCGACCGACCCTTCTAATTTTATTTTCACCCCCTTCCTTCGGGTTTGGGCAACCTCTAAACGGTAATACAGTTACGGTGCCTCACGTCCAGCGGACGGACAACATGGTGCAAGGTTGGTTGGTTGGTTGGCTGGTTTGTTTGTTTTTGTTTGTTTGTTTGTTTGTTTAACGTCGCACTCAGCAATATTCCAGTTATGTGGCGGTGGTCTGTAAATAATCAAGTCTGGAACAACCGATCCATACAATTGGGATACGATGATTGTGTCAACCAAGTCAGTAAGCCTGACCACCCGATCCCGTTAGTCGACTGTTACTCAAGCATAGGTTGCTGAAGACCAATTCTAACCCGGGTCTTCACTGGTTTGGTTAAATGCATCAGCTTGTCTATATTGTTTATATGGATCTTTGAACCAACAACACGGCACCAAAATACAGAAAGCACACATGTTCAAGTTTTATTTTGTGACTAATACAAGCTTACGAAGAATGGCTTGTCTTGTCTGCTCTCTAGGAACCATTTTCTCAGAATCCTTTAAACTACTTAAAGGCCCCCTGAAATTCCCTTTGCGTTGTCCACGAGTTTGCTGATGTTGTCTGGGTTGACGTCGTCTATTTTGCTGGTTTTCATTTCGTGGGCAAACGTCTGAAACAATTAAGCAATCAAATGAGACAGTCAAGTGAATGAGTGAGTGTGGTTTTACGCCGCTTTAAGGAATATTCCAGCAATACCACGGCGGGGGACACCAGAAATGGACTTCACACATTGTACCCATGTGAAGAATCGAACCCATGTCTTCGGCGTAACGAGCGAACGCTTTAACCACAAAGCTACCCCACCGCTCCTGTTTTGATTGAAAAAATACTGACTGATTTTCCAAATGCGGCACTAAGATATTCCGAGCATAACCCACTGCATTTACTGGTGGGTGCCTTATGCCGTATGCCGTATGCCGTATGCCAGACAGGGCAACAACAAATACCATCTTGTAACGGCTTTTGGAATAACACGGCCAGGGGATCGAACTTCCGCACTTGCGACAAAAATCGACCTTTGAAGATCTGTGTTAGAAGTAATCCATGCCTGTCGTAAAAGGCGACTAACGGGATCGGGTGGCCAGGCTCGATGACTTGGTTGACACATGTCATCGTATTCCAATTGCACAGATCGATTCTCATGCTATTGATCACTGGATTGTCTGGTCCAGACTTCATTATTTACAGACCACTGCCATATAACTGGAATATTGCTGAGTGCGGCGTTAAATAACAAACCAACCAAAGCCTTCATAAACAACGGTTCTTATACTTTGTAGTGTAATGACAGGCAAAGTATGGAAGTGCAAATAGTGAAAAGTATTGAGTAACTAGTGGCCAAGAAAAAAGAGACACTTTCTTCATGTCAACGATTGTGTTCAGTACAGGGCTAATTTTACATGAACAGATATTCTGGTGATAAAAATCTGATAAGTGTTTATCTAGTATAGTGACACAAATATTTTGTGGAGTAGACTCTTTTCTTAAATTGACATGTGCATCACATATAAATATCAGATGATCTACGTCTTCGATATCCACCATACAAACAGGGCAAAATCTTAAATGTTTGGATAGCGACTGTTTACAACTGACATTAATCATTACATCTGTCAAACCATGTCTAAATGTAACAACTGTATTTTCTAAGTTTCTTGCTTGTAATGATTGATAAATATCTCCCAGGTTCAATTGCCTCTGTTCACATAGCAGTGAATGGGTACCCGATGGGATAAGTCCTATGACTGTTAACCTTCTAGCGCCTCACAGGCAACTTGGGTTATCCGGGGTTATAATGCGTTAATAGCGCTTTGAGCATTCATAAATGGTTGGAAACAAGCGCTTTATAAATAGCCATTATTATTATTACGTTATCTATATACATCAAATCTAGAACTTAAACAAGGTCATTCATCCAATTCTTTGACGAAATTCGTTCATAAAGAAAACACTCGTTACCAACACCTTGGAAAAGTCACAAATATAAAACCCCAGAGCAGATACCTTATAATGATGCTCATGTTATATAACTAAGATAATCTAGATTAAACAGCATGTAGGATATGTTTCGGTAGACGCTAAGTGGAATAGAACAGTCAACCCATACCTTTATGATGGACTGTAAAAACGGTTGCATGGCCGTCGCGGCTATTTTGTCTGTGGGTGGTGCTTTTTCTCCTGTCCACAACATGAAGACATATACGCCGTGGTCAAGGCGATAGTAAGCAAATGCTACAACTTCGTCTGAAAAGAAAACAAAATGGCTTCTTTGATGACGTCATGAAATAGATGGCATGAAAGAAACTTTTGATTCAACATCAGTCAAGTTTTAATGAAATGATGTGGTCAGCTCAACTAGTCTAGAAGTGAGTGAGCGTGGTTTTACGCCGCTTTTAGCAATATTCCAGCAATATTACGGCGGGGAACATCAGAAATGGGCTTCACACATTGTACATGTGGGGAATCGAACCCGGGTCGTCAGCATGACGAGCGGACGCTTTAACCACTTGGCTACCTCACCGCCCCTCAATTAGTGTAGCAAATGTCAGTCACGAGAGTTACCCTGCAGTGTCAGTATTCAGTTGGAGTCTCTTTGTGTAGTCATTCCGGGTTTTTAAAATCAAACACTCATTATACAAAACGTAGTTAAAGGGTTCCAGCGGGGTTAGATGCCCCAACCTGTACACGTTATGAAGTCGTTCCTTATTCAGATAGACTGTGAATTTGCTGATAGGTTGCTTAAGGCAACTGTTACTCGCTTGTTCAGCTAGCCTATAAGGCAAGTCTTTTATCAACATGTACCTGTAAACTGAGCTTTAAATGTTTCAAAGTCTTTCCCCGTTAGGCTGGTCTTCATTGTACCGCCGACGAACTTAAACACAGCCCTGTAAGGCAACCAGAAACAATGAGGCAATGGATTTGGGAAAGCTTGAAATCTGTGATTGTTTCTGACACGTAATATAGATATGTGTATAAAATGTAACATTAAAGTTTAACACGTCATATTTGCGTCATATTTGGGATTACACTTCCTCAGTAAAGTAAAGGCCAGCTATTCTCGAAACTTTCGTAGCCTTACTAACTTCTTAAGCTCATTCTTAACACATTGGCTACGATCAAAGTTAAGAATTCTTAAGGCTACGAACGTTTCGAGAATAAGGGCCCAGATTCTTTACTGATCGAACTCACGCCCTCAGACACAGGCACCTAACCTAATCGCCAGTACACGAAGTCAGCCGTCGAACCCACTCAGCCAACGCATGATCTGGCTGATACTACATTCAAACACTGGACACTTTAAAGTGGAGACACGGGTGTTGTCTCACGAACATACACATCAAAGTGTATCGAATTCTTAACAAAGGTTCAGGTCCTTTTCTCAGGGACCGCTTCCGTGGTGTAGTGGTTAGAGTGTCCGCCCGGAGTGCGCAAGGTCGCGGGTTCGATCCCCGACCGCGTCATACCAAAAGACGTTAAAATATGGTACTTGTTGGTCCCTGCCTGGTGCTCGGCATTCATGGGTACAACAAGGACTGGCTCGGAGTCAGTATAATGTGTCTGGGTGGGGTATTCATGCTTCACTGCGGCATGGTATCTCAGTGGGCTAGCACTATAAAACCAGCTTCAGTCTGAGCTAGTACAAGCAGCCGCACATACACATACACATGAATGCACGTCGTCATATGAGCGAAATATTCTCAAGCAAGACGTTAAACCCAATTCCACCACCACCACCACCTTTTCTCAGACCGTTTTTTTAAAGGTGTAACATCAGAGCTACAACAACCTGACTCGGTTTTACAACAAAACACATTCCATTTGCAAAAATGGTGAAAACTATATGAACGGAGTGAGTGAGTGAGTTTAGTTTTATGCTGCACTCATCAATATTCCAGCTATATCGCGACGGTCTGTAAATAATCGAGTCTGGACCAGACAGTCCAGTGATCAACTGCATGAGCATCGATCTACGCAATTGGGATACGATGACATGTGTCAACTAAACCAGCGAGCCTGGCCACCCGATCCCGTTAGTCGCCTCTTACAAGCATGGGTTACTGAAGATCAATTCTAACCCGGATCTTCACGGGTCACTATATGAACGGATCATTGTGAAGTACTGTTGACACCTGGTGTTCACGAAAACGGGAATCATGACACCCATACCACTTCACATCGCTGTCGATGGCTGTCATTTTATCATGTGTTGCCTTGACATCCTCTGTGTCGACGGGATGGGGATTCGCACTGTCCATCATGAAGAAATCCACAGGTTTTGCCCTATTTGTATGAACAGAGACAAAAATAGCATTGTAGAAGCTGTGAAGAGATAACGACCAATTTGGCCCAGCGTAAATGATTATACATGTAATTTATCATTATCACCTGTACGTAACACTTTTCACGTCACTTTGTAAAACGACACTGATGTTCAATGTCCATATTCATGACGTAATGGTTGTTTTCCAGCTGTATTGAACAACCATATTATAGTCGCTATCATAGAATATAAATGTTAACATTTTTCATATATTTATTGAATGATAACATTTCTACACTTAGTGATGTAGCGCGAATTTGATCTTGGTAGAAACTAAGAGAAATAAAATCGTTTCTCATTTAAGCAGCTTGCCATGAAATGAGCTCATGACTTAAACAAGTATGTCACACCCCAATGTAGCATAAATTTAAAAAAGATGAAAATGGCAGCGATTTCCAAATATCTATCAGGTGGTCCTGTACAGTAATAGCCATGATCAAAAGTCGCTCTCGTAAAATGTATTTGTTATCTTTTATATTTGTTTTATTTACTGATGAAAATTTAATTCTATATTCACCTGTTATGTTTTATTATGAAATAAGTTTGAGACATTGAGCGTATATCATACAACAAAGTAAGCATGAAAAAAATACCTGAAACTTTTTTCAGGCGAAATTGAGATTTAGTATACAGTATTTAGGATACATCAGGTATAATGGAATATTTCATAATTATTATGGCTTTGTTTCTAAACCGTTGAAGTAAAAATCGGAAAATAGTGACTCGTGCTTCTTTTTTCTGTTATTTTCTTTCTTGTACGAGACGTAGCAAAGTCTAATCAGTAACCGTATTTGCCTCGTCGATTAAATATGTCGCAGCTGACATTTCCACGATTTGAAAATATACACCATTACGATGAACCTCCTATGTATTAACTTCATCAGGACACTACTTGTATTTGCAGAACTCTGCGGAACCGTGAAACTAGAAGAAATAGCTCGCCAAGCAGTTTATGGCAGGAAAATAATACTTCAGAGTAAGCAGATAAATACATCATGGCAAGCAGGTAAAAGATCATAGTAAACGTTAAACTTCTACCACGAACATCTGAAAGTTGGACAGCGGCTCAAGTACTGTGTGTACTGACGTTTCATCTTCTTCGGTTGAAGGTGAGGTGAAATTGGGTTTAACGTCGTGCTTGAGTATTGCTTTGAATAAGAGGAAAGAGGAAACAGTATTGCTTTAAACATATGAGTGTTTATTAGGCCGCTTTTAGACATATTCCAGCAATATCACGGCGGGGGACACCAGATATGGGCTTCACACATTGTACCCCTGTGGAGAATCGAACCCGGGTCTTCGGAATGACGAGCGAACGTTTTTAACCATCAGGCTTCCCCACCGCCCCGCTATGATAATGAATACTGGAAAAGAGTATACAAGTGTGTGTACACAGAATGTGATTACCGTCACTGTCAGGTTCACCTAGATACGTCCTGCGGTGATTCTGAAAGAGTATCTGTTGGGCAACTGAAGTGAAAAGAGATGGGAAGCAGTATAGCTTTATACCGTTCCATTTCCGAACAGACCAGAAAGGTTAGTGGGTTTATCAAAGAGGCGTGGCCCTTTATGTCAACGTATATCACAGTGTGCATAAATATGGCTTTAACCATGATATTCGTAATCAGCTGGGGCACTGCCGGTACTAAGTAATGAATATGACTTGGTATTTTGTATGCATGTAACATGTTCTGTCTCGGGAAGGAACTCATGACGACTGAACACCCAGTATTTAGGACATTTGTCGTGTATATTGTCTCGATTTGTACTCGCATGTTTACTCATTTCGCGAGCACCTGCAGATGGTGTCATCACATATTTTCATTGGTCCTATATAATGTCCACGGCTATTGTTTGCTGTACAGAAGTACCAAGAACATACTAAATTCGGTATTCGTGATATCCATTATAGTTAATCAATTTGCTGATAAAATATCAATCATAAAAATACCAATATATTATACTGATTAAACATTAACCAATCTGCTGTAGTTTTGCCCAGTAGGCTAAGGCAGCGCATTTCTCAATGTAGAGTTACCTCCCTTAGGCGATCCATGGTACTTTGGTCGTGGGTTCGAGTTCAAGATTTGAACAGATTTTGATCCTTTCAAACCTATACTAGTGTTGGGTAAACATGGCAACGACTTGCACGTCAATCTTGTCCCACACATAACGTTAAGACGCCGATACATATCTCACGCACTTGTCATAATGTACACTTGCAGGTATATTTTGCGTTGAAATATTATCTAGGTTTGATTTAATGTATATTTAGGTTGGTATGAACTGGTTACTGTCTGGCATATGGCTGCGCTTCCTCGGTAACATGTGATAATCAACACTAAATATTGAAATCAGTAGAGACCCTCCTTATTCTTCGTGCTTTGTCCGAATCCAATATCATCTGAATCAGTGCGGTGCGGTAGCCTAGTGGTTAGCGCGTCCGCTCGTCACGCCGAAGACCCGGGTTCGCTTCCCCACATGGGTACAATATGTGAAGCCCATTTCTGCCCTTGCTGTGATATTGCTGGAATATTGCTAAAAGCGGCGTAGAACTACTCACTCGCGTTTAATCAACGCACGTTACATGAACACTTACAACACTGACGTTGTGTAACTTGCATACAATGTCCAACTGCATGTACAAGTTTGTGTAAGGACGACCGCGAGCAAGATGTGCCGCTCAGAGAAACGCTCGGAGCTTGAGCTGGAACACTGTGTATGTCAAAGCTGAAAGTTTCGTTCGCTGATGAGTTTGTGATGTCTGGCAAGTATTCTACGGAAGCCTATTAGGGCCACGGTACACTATTATTCAGCATCTTGTATCTTGAAAATTCAACTTTGTATCTTGAAAATGCTGATTAGTAGCGTAGCGTGGCCCCAACAGGCTTCCGTAGTATTCTGCTTATTGTGTGTTTGTTGTGTTTATTTATTTGTTGGGGATAAAATGTACCGGGACAGTGATGGCGATGTTGTCCTTCACTGGATCCCATCATTTAGCCACTAGTATTGTTTAGAATAGGAAAAACAGCCGTATGTAAACATTGGGAGACTAACATCAGAAAACAATGGTCGTCTCAATTTACACCTTAGAACTATGCAACAATTCTTTGTATTACGTTTACAATGATGTCAATTGTTCTGTTCTTAATATAACTAACCCGTGAAGGTCCCGGTTAGAATATGTATCTTCTGTAACCCATGCTTGTCGTAACGGGATCGGGTGGTCAGGCTTGCTGACTTGGTTGACACATGTCATCGGTTCCCAATTGCGCAGATCGATGCTGATGCTGTTGATCAGTGGATTGTCTGGTCCAGACTCGATTATTTACAGACCGCCGCCATATAGCTGGAATATTGCTGAGTGGGGCGTAAAACTAAACTCACTCACTCTTAATATCCCTACTATATTCTTATACAACACATACAGCAAATCTCCACCTGACATCAGGGCGGTGGGGTAGCCTGATGGTTAAAGCGTTCGCTCTTCACGCCGAAGACCCGGGTTCGATTCCCCACATGGGTACAATGTGTGTCCCCCACCGTGATATTGCTGGAATATTGCTAAAAGCGGCGTTAAACCAAACTCACTCACTCACTCCACCTGACATCATCTGTCTGATGGTGATATAGGTGCGACTGACTTATTCACGTCTTAGTATGACCCATATGAACGTTTGTAGTGTTTGTGAATAAATATTTGATAGTATATGCCGAACTTGATAGAATATGTATACCTAACTCTGGCTACACTCTGGTATTTCTCATAGTGGAGTTAATATCCAAGGTATAAACGACAGCGGTGAACATTTAGGAAAAATTGTACATGTTTCCGCATCGTCAGCATTCGTGATAAATAAGCCATTCTTTATCCATATACCAATAGCAAGAGGAGCATAGTCGAGTCAAACTGAGGCAAAATATTGTGATTTGCTAGCGATCGAATCCATAATTCGATCCACATTATGATCCTTGGCGTATCAGACATAAAACCATGTGTTGGATAGTTTCATAAAAGCAACTTTTATGGTTCTTACATCGTCAGAAAACCTTAAATACTGTCCCAGTATAGTATAACGTATGACGTATGACGTATTGTTTCATCTATGACGTAATGTCAACGAACAGTGTGTGTGTGTGCGCGTACGTGCGTGCGTGTGTGTGTGTGCAATATTCCAGCTTCATGTATATGGTGGTGGTCTGTAAATAATCGAGTTTCGACCAGACAATCCTGAGATCAACAGCATCAACATCGATCTTCGCAAATGGGATACGATGACATGTGTCAACCAAGTCAGCGAGTCTGGCCTGCCGATCCTGTTAGTCACCTCTTAGGACAAGCCTTGATTGCTGTAGACCAATTCTAACCCGGATCTTCGCGGATAGAGATGGAAGTAGTCCTGATAATGTTTCCCATAGGTTTGGAGTTAGCAATAATCAGTGAGAATCGGGATTCGAACCAACGATGAACGGTTTCTGGCATGACTAAGGTACGCAATCCCGCATAGCAAGTCGTGACTAGAAAAGATCTGAATGTATGTCCGTTTTTAGCGATCCTGCACAACAAACAAGGAGACAAAAATTCCCCTTGGCGGGAATTATTTCAAGAAGCGGCGTAAAATCCCTCGGTCGCTCATCGAACACCATGCTCACAACATTATGTTAGCTTTGTCTCAGTGAAGTGTGGCTTCTCACCAAATTTATCACTTTTCCTGGACTGGGCACCAGGAATGGATCCAGTAAGTTGCACCAGTGTGGGAAATCGAAACCAGACCTTCGTTTTTTATTGCAGAACAATCCAAACATTTTCAGCAAACAAATTGTAAAAAATGAGCTCGGTGATTGTGGGCACTAGTCTAGCTGTGCAAGGTGCTTGAGCTTCAACAATGATGACTAAGGTTTTAAACCCCATTCACTCACTCACTCGAACACACT